TTTTTTTTTTTGGGGTGACTTTAGTTGTTTTCTTGTTCCTACGATGAATTGCAAAAAAACACAGAATCATTCACCATCTTTAAAAGGGGAAGAAAGCAACGTCCAAACCTAGAAAAGACTGCTCTCACGGACGACTCCGACCGCACAATTGCCAAGCAGATTGTGCATGACTTCCCATGTCAGAAACCAAGGCTCGCAGGTGCCAAACGAAGACTAGCACTGCTCGGCTCAGTGAAATGCAGCTCTAATGTTTGCACGTTTTACAACAAAAGCGATTAAATGTCACACAGACACACGAGCCTTTCAAGTAAGCGAGTACTGCATCAGACGGTGGATCGTGGTTATCTTCTTAACCATCAGATTTCCTCACGTTTAGCGGATTTTCCTCAATTTCTCTCCTCAGCTCGCCCACTGAGGTCTAACAACAACTTGAAATTACAGTTTGTTCCACGCCCCCGCCCAAGGACACGAGGTGATCGAGCTTTTCGAGGCCATAGCAGGCGACCCGTGGAACGCTCTGCTTCACCTCTGAGGTTTTTCCGATTCTGTCATCTCTTTTAAAAGTCAGCTAAAGTCACTTGAGCATTTAAGTAACATGCTTAAGGACATTTGTGCCTTTGAATCCATGTACTGCTCTAGACTCTGTTTTATTGGGGCAGCTGTGTGTGTTCTTAATCTATCTTCTTTTATCTGTGGGTAAAAAGTGCCATATAAATAAGTATAGCATGCTTTCATGTTTAAGTACCCCACCTACTCTATCATAACCCCAACCCTATTTTTTTTTGCTAGAATATTTTTCTGACTAAGATTTGAGAGTTTCAGAAGCCTAAAATCACACAATCTCACAGCACAGGATTATAATAATAATTATAATAATTGTCTGCGATGACTTAAAGCTAAACTCTGCTTTGTTAGTCAGACTGATGGAAGACGGGACAAAAATAATCTTCGTGACTCATTTTGAAGACATTTAAAATGTAGCAACGTGAGAATTTCTGACCTTCTTTCAGGTTTTTTATATTTTTTTGTGCGCCGCTGATAACTCGATACATCAGTTCTATGGATAAGCTGACAGAGTATTATTGTCTATACTATAACTCGGCTCTGAGCACGCCGGTTAGGTCATCACTTCAGGAAATCTGTCATTCATTTCAGGATTTTATGACAGAACGATGACTGCAGCAGCAGTCTGCTGTGCTGACCTATCTGCTACTGCGATCAAATCACTCAGTTAGTGCATCTGTGCAATATATGAACAACAATAGAGGCTGTTTCACAACCCGTCAGTTAGCACACGATTGTGTGTTCCTAATCGCTTCGACAGAGTCAATAAAAGGAGACCTCAGGGCCATCAACAGCGCGGCGATTGCACAACTGCGATCTTTGAGGTCAGCGTCCCTCTGCTTACCCGTGTGGCTGCGCTTGTGCACCAGCAGCACGTTAATGCTGATGCAGGACAAGCCGCAGATGTCGCAGCTGAGCTTGCCTGTCGGCTGGATGCGAGGCGGCCCGGCTCCGGGTGCGTAAGCTCCTTCCGCGTCGGCGGCAGACGCCGCTGCGCCGGCGTCGGGGAGGGCCGCGCTGTCGTAACGCGAGTAGTCCACCAGCGACAGGTCCTGCGGCTCACTCAGGCCGTCTCCCTCTTCGTCCCCTTCCACGTCCCTCTCCTCATCATTCTCTTCCTCTGTCCTCTCCTCATCAAAACCTTCCTCCATCCCGTCCTCACTGCCTCCCTCTGCTTCCTCTTTAGGCACAATCTCTTGGTCTTTTTCAGCCTTGAGAAGCTGCTCGTTATCTTCCATCTCCTCAGCCTCGGTCTTTATCACACCTGAGCAAAGTGGAAGGAGGGGACAACCAAAATATGCATTTGGAGAGACATTTCACAGGAATGTGTAGAGCATTTTCCAACAAAGGAGCTTAGATAAGCTGTGATCAGAGTCACGTCTTTACTTCCACATTTGTATTTAAGGTCGATAGCAAGATATTAGTACTAGCACATCTCCAAAGTGTGGGTAGCCTAATTTGGGCCGATGCATAGCGTCACAGAGAGATTCAGAAGATGTGTGCTTGAGATAAGGCAAAGGCATTTCCTCTACACAGCGGCTAGAACCAGGGCAGGAGAGAGAGAGCGAGTGAGCAGGCGCCTCAGACAGACAACACTAATTCCTCGTCTGCCTTTAAAGAGTCATTTCAGACTGACTGTTCATCACATTGGTCACAAAGGCTTAAAAGCATCCAAATTTAAGGGTTAAAAGGTGCTAAAGTGCACCTAAAGTCCTCTCAGTTTCCCCTCAGCCAGCCAAGCACCAATTACATCACCTATACAAGCAAGATTTTCCCGCTTTTGTTTTTTTTTCTTCTGGTTTCTCAACCACACGCTCAGCTCAAACTACTTCTCCGTGCAGGATTTAGCGATTTCATTTATTAACACCACATCTGCCTACGCGCAGAGTCCTAAAGCCCAATGTACAGGACCTCTCACCTAGCCTCTTGCAAGCGTTAACCAGCCCCCCAGCTTATTCAGTTCCATCCAAAAACCACACTGTGGTCTTGGCGGTGACTGATGATGAGCTGAAGAGCAGCGCCTTGTATTGTGGAAAGCGCTCAGAGGTGCTATGGAAACTTTGCACACACAGAGCTCCGAGAGGCCCGATATAGAGTCCAGTGTCTCAAAGCAGTGAACCGCAGGCTGCGCATTAGACGCAGAGCAGGGCTTTAGGAAGTGCACCCAGCGGGGTAGATAGATGGGTGGCAGTCAGAAATAAAGAGGAGAGCTGTCTGTAACACCACGTTCTGTTTTTTTTTAAGTGAGAAATGAGAGAGTTCGGGCTGAATGACAAAGTCAAAACAATTCAACATTAAAAATATCGTGTGAAACAGAGTTGTCACGGTTTCTGCCCGCTCGATGACGAGAAGAGAGCTTTTAAAAATGCAGCTTTTGTCACAGAAGCACGAACTAAAACCAGACCATGTCTACCACAGGCTGGAGACAGCCTCAGTCAGTTTTAATCAAAGGGTCTCTACACGAAAGACTAAAAATAATTCTGTGTTATCTGTCATCGGGCTCCTAGTAGAAATTTACAAGAAGAAGAAGTTTTGAGTAATGATGCAGAAACAGAAGGAGCTTTTCTGGTCACTCTGCTATGACCGGTTCTCATCAGTGCTCTTGTGACCAAAGTTCACCATGTACAAGGAGTTAAAAAAGGTCTGATTCTAGACGTCTCAGACTGAGTTTAATGTCACCAAATGCTGGAGATGAGGACAGATTTAGGCTTCTGTGAAATGACTTCATCTACGTCCAGACTCAGAGTGCAAACCTTTGGTTTTTGGTGCAGCCCTCAAGTTTTCCTGCAACACTGTGATGCAGCGGGAACAGGACTTGGACCCAGGGACGTGTCTGTGCAGTTTCATCACATATGTTGTAGACATCATCGCAGACTAATAAGTCCTACAATGTCTAACACACTGAGGAGTTGGTCTATATAACCGACTTTGCAGTGATGTTACAGCTAAAAAGACAAAGCAAAGGCTCGATGCTTCTCTTCACAGGCGTTCTGCTGAATCTGTTTTTACTTCTTGCATCACTGCTTTGGGCCCAATAAAACAGTCCCAGTAGTCTTGTAAGAACAGGTCTGATGAGCCAGGCCAAGCTTTGGAGGGCTCCTGTCATACTGGGCTGTCTGAACCATCCACACCACAGGCAGATTGAGCTTTTGCTCGAAGGTTTCATCATCTCTTTGTCTCCTTTTCTGCATTCTGACTGCATTTTAGGAAGAATCCAGGATGGATGTTTCCATTTCATCCAATTACTTTTCTGGTTGCTGTCATATTAAGTGCTGCCCAGTAGGAACAGGAAAAACGACTGACCGGAGCTCTGGGAGAACACGCAAACTCCACATAGCTACGGCCTCACAAGTCTGAGCCCACTGTTCTTGTGAGGTGATGGTGCTAACCACTGAGGCATCATGCACCCATATATCATTGGTGTCAAGAAATGTCACCTCGCTAACTGGTGAAAAACAACGTTTCCGAACATAAACCACCATCCACTGATCAGATACAGTATGAATGCGTATTTGCAGGCCTCGCTCTCTTACTTTCTATATTGGCACGCGGTCAATGAAACTTTAGATAGATGACCTATCGAATCAATCAAGCACCTCTTCGTCACGTGCAACCTCGATGTAGTTCATGTCAAACCCTGGAAAATGAGAGACATGCAAATACTTGTTGCCGAGCTCTAATTTATGTCTTCTCACAATGATTTGGTCCTCAGCTAGTACACAACAATATTTATTTGGCTTTATAGTATTCAGATAAGCGTTTATGCATAAATTTGACAGCTACCGGCACGAACACTAGCTAATTCAACCCAGAAACCTCTGATGTAAAAGCAAAATAACAAATCTGCTTTTTTTTGTGCAAGTTTTTGCAGAGACGAGCATCACAACTGAAAGGTCGTGTGGGAAGTTTCATTTAAAACACAGTTAAAGATCTCTGCTGTTTCACCTGTTGCACACATTCCAGTCACCTGCCACGAAACTGGCTGCGCATAAAAATGAAACTTCACGTTTCCATCATTTTACGAGCGGGTTTGATAAAACGTTTTGCGCTCGCAGCTGCGCTCCTCTTGTGAGCTCAGCGAAGCAGCAGCTCCCTGTCTTTGACTCCAAATGCCCGCTGGTTTTGCTGATTCAAACGACAAAATTAAGCTGCAAATGATGCCGTTTGGTGCTTTCGGCGGTAGCTAGCCTGTTAGCTCGCAGGTGCAGTGGAGGTGCATGGCCACAGCTACAAATAGGTGGATAAAAAATGATCAGGAACATAAAATAAGAGGATTTGCAAAGGGCCGGATTTGGCTCGACTTGGCCAAATGCTCTGGTTACAGGTGACCTTTCACTGACTTTAATCCCCCTCCTCTACTTTTTCTGCCACTCTAAATGGTTTCCTGTATTTCCTGTCTTCAACCAGTATAATCTATTTCATTGTATGAAAGTATTGTAGCACCATTCCTCAATTTTTTCCTAGAACTGATCAGGCAAAAAACCCAACAAAAGGCGTGTATAAAACAGCTGTAGCACCAATCCCACACACACATATACATATATATATATGTGTGTGTGTTTGAGAGAGTGTGAGTGTGTGAGTGGGTACACATACGTGGATCTGCGACACCTCCAGCGGACTGAATTCCATTTTCACTAAATGAGTTGTCCTCCTTCTCTTCTTCCTCCTCCTGCGACTTCACATCTGCAACATCTGAGAAAGTAACATGTTGAGTGGATGTGTTAAAACTGAGCCACGCGTTTCTTCTCAATTAAAAAAGCGTTTCCCGTAGCAACAAGTGAACATTAAAACTCCCGATTAACAGTAAATATGCAGGAAGTCTTGCTCGTGACCCCGACACTATGACCTGCTTTCAGCTGCAGCGTGCACAAATCCCTCCACGTACGTGCACAGAGTTTGTAGGCACGACTTCAGCCAGGATGGTGGAGGAATGCGTGCATCCTCATCATCTAAACTTTCACATTAAAAGACAAGGAACGCCTTTACTCACCCATCCCGTCTGCCTCTGAGGATGTGAATTCAGGATGCTTTTCTGTGCTCATGATGAAGGAAAACGTTCTGTGAGGGGAGGGGGGGGGGATTTACAGTATTCGGTTAATTAGAGCGCTTTAAAACCAGGTGTGCCAATAAAGCTAGAGAAAAGGCGGTTTTGTTTCTTACATTCATTGTGTCACATTTTATCTGACCGTTTGTGAGACAATTTTAACTTTTTCAGATGTTCTCGATGCTAATAAAAGAGCCCCCCAAACCTCCCCTTTACTATTTCTACAAGGCCTGCGAAGAAATAGAAGCAAGACTTGCATCTCTTTGTTCCTGTTGGTTGGACAGTGTAAAAAAAAAAGAAGAGTGGGTAAAAAAGCCCACGGTTGATTGCTCGACCCTGTCTCTACATTTAGCCTTATGAGAAAGAGATGATGTTCACTGCTCATGTATTTCCTGCTGGGTTTGTGCACAGGAGCAGGCGTAAACGAGCACACACAGACGCTCGAAATTATTTAAGAAAAATCCAGACGTGCACTTTTTAAAGAAGCCCCCTGTCAGTCAGTTTCCACCGAGTTAACAAAGTATTTAATGATATTTTAGATTGTTTCAACTATTTATTCGCATCAACTCTAATAAATGATAAAAACCACACCGTTTGTAGGGTTTTCATGATTAACTGAAGCTCTTGCGTTAAAATACATCAATAGGAAACTTTCTCACATGGTCAAAATGAAATTGAGAAGCACATGTGCTGCTGTTAATTCCAGGAGACGTCTTTGGTTTTGTTTTTTTGCTGGAAGTTAAGAGTAAGTCTGAGGAGTAATGATAAGAATAAGATCTTACCTGCTTCTTGCTCAGCGCCACAGAGGAGAACTGCACTCACAGGAGGAGATTCCACACTCCGCCGCTGGACTTTCTCTGAATATGGAATATAAGCAACGTCACCGCCGTGAATTCCTTAAAGGAACAGGAACGCATTTTCAGCAAGGTGGAGCAACAAAGAGCAGAGCGTGTGAATCCAGCAGAGCAGCACCGACGGCGAGACTCAGAACGAGTCCGACGATGTTTTAATCTACAAACATTCCTTCTCTGAACCTAAGCGCGCGCAGCCAACGACATTTATGAGCGAAACAAAGAACCGATTCGGGGTTTGATGTTACTTCAGGGCGTCCACATGGCTCCAGACTTGGCTTTTAAGGAGATCTAACTCCATCTTGTGGCCAGATGTGAAAGCTACTTCAACGTCCAACTCGTCTGAAGCTGAAACTTCATTTACTTTTCTTTCTTTTAAGAATTCGCCTCATTTCAGGTGAATAAACAGCTGATATCTGCCCTTTATGGTCCGTACCTGCAGAACGGAGACACATTTTATTACTGGCTGTGGAAAATCTTACGTCATGGCTCTGTATCTGTGTGCTGCAGCTGCTGAGTGTCCCTCTCTTTATTCCCATCTCTGACGCAGAGTTGGAAGAGAATTAGGAAAAAAGCTTTTAAATACTTGTATCCCAATATTGTCTACAGATGAGCTTTAACAGTCGGGGCTTGTTATTATAGGCAGTCGTAAAAGTGCATTTGCAGTATCACTGAAATCAGTATTTGATCCGAGCACAGCATTCACTTGTTTATAGTGAGTGAAGTTGTATTTGTGTGATTTTTTATGCCTATAGTTGTTAAATCATCTACCATCCCCCTCACGGGAAAACAGGCGACTCTAACGCGTGTAAATAAAGGCAAATAAAAGCTCACGCTCTCTCCTGCTGATAAAAATAAGTTAGAAAATCCCTGAACACATGCGCAGCAGATCTCCAGGTGCATGTTTAGTTTGAATGCACTTGTTGCTTGAATGAGCAGCAGTTCTCTAAAACCGCCGTTCGAGTCATACTTTTCTTTAAAGGGGACGAGTGACGCAAACTGAGACAAAAACATGGGCGACAAAAGCGCGTGTGTGCGTGCATGTTTATGGGTAGAGAAGCTTTGACCACAACCTGTGGAGTTCCCACAGCTAACAAAGGTCTTGTGGTACATAAGGATGAAGTGACCCTCAGATATTTGTATCAAATTTAGTTTTTGGTTTCACCTTTAAAATTTACAACATTTCAAATGTTAATTTTAAGGGGGGAACAAAGAATTCAGCTGAAACACTTTAAAAACTGCCAGAAACTATTTAATATAATCAAAACTTTTAAGGATGGATTAAAAAAACAAACTCTTGTGACATTTGAATGTTTTCTGTTCATCCCTAAGGCGGGTCTGTTACAAAAGATTATCCACTATCTAACAACACAGACGCCTAATTAGTAACACGCAGTAATGAAGGAGGTCAGAGTGACCATATGAGCAAAGCTGAGGGTCACTGATGAAAATATTTGTCTTTCACTGCTTCTAAAATTGATGTATGCTCTTCACTTTATTTATATACTTCTTATTTATTTAAATATGATGTTTTTAATGCGTCAGATGTGTCACAGTTGTACGTTTTACTATAATCTGTGCATAACGAAGTTTTTCCATCTGGTACAACAGTGTGCTTCAAAATCACAGCCTCAGTGTTCTGGAGAGAGAAAAACATCTTTCTCATTTTAGTGAGGAACAACTGTTTTTGATTTCTCTTAGATCACATATCCTAAAAGCACAGGGTCGGCCTAAGGACTTCTACACTCACAGGTTTAAATATTTGATTGCAAAGAGCTCTGCTGGCAAAGACAGTATGCTTCAAATCAACATTTAAACAGCTTTTAGCTTCCTGTGGTCGTCCCTCCTCTTTGTAAAACTTGTGGACACGACTCAAACCTAAAGCAGTTTAATGTAGGTGAGAGAAAACGTGCAGTTCTCCTTCCAGCTCTGCTCGTTTTCTCTCATTCGCCTTTAATAAGACAGCTTATTGGTTTCATCCTGCACCTTTGTGCGGTAAATATTCACTTTACTGAATCAACTTTGACTGCTTAAGCTTCATATTAACACCAGACAAACATCCTTATTTCTTTCGCTGAAGGCACATAATAAAGGAAATGTCAGCTTTCTCCTTTTATTTCTCCTTATGTGGCTTTAAAGTTGTGAAGATCTGACAGGTTGTTCCATTTCATAATTAAATCCATACCTTTCAGCTTTTATAGCCAATACTTTTGAAATTTGAGTATTACACGTTGTCTCTTTTTGATATTGAAAATATTCCAGGTGGCAAAGATTCTGCTTTTTTGGGGGGAAATCTTACGACATCTATTAGAAGCTGTTCATGTGCTTTTCATTTGTGAACTTTAACAGATCACAGCTTATAGTTAGAATAAACAGCAAGATAAAAAATTGTGATTTCCACTGGCCGGTCGTGGCTTTGTTGTTCTTCTGCTTTTGTCTGCACCGTTTCTTTCAGGTTGTTTTGTTTTCCACTGTTGAAAGATTCCCATCCATCGTTTCCCGTCTACGTCTGCCCTCCTTTTCCTGTCATCTCTGGCAAAATAATATTTGTTTAAAACGAGCCTAAAATACTGGAAGAAGAATTTACATGTTCCGCTTGTCTGCCGGTCTGTTGCACCGCTTTTCAAGTTACAACAAAAACACAGCTCATTAGCTCAGCCGGCATCTACAAAATAGCGTCAATAACCACATTTAACCTTTGACTAACCGCCCTGCACCCCCCCCCACAACACAAACACAGTCAAACACCTCATTACTGACACATAATAACGTTCCTATTCTTGCTGTAAGTTCAGAGACTGTTGAGCAATTCCAGAAACTGCAGCTTGATTTTTCCGTCTCTGTAAAAAAGGAGCATAAAAGTAAGCGGGTGGCTCGTCTTTTAAATCGAGGCTCAGTAAAAAATGTCTAACCTCACCACGGAGCCCTAAAGCAGACTTGTATTGGAGTGTTTAAAGTGCTTTGTGGACGTTTGTTTCAGATCAGTACCACCGACGTCTCGTAACTAACAACACTCGCTGTAGCGCCCACCTGAGCGGTGCACGGCCTTGAGAGGCTTGGCTGCTGCCCACGGCCCGCCGGTGGCAACCAGCCACCGGCGTGTAGAAAAAAAGCTGAAAGAACGCACACTCACAAAGGCGTTACAATGCACGCTGGGTTTCCATGGCAAAATGGAGGCAAAGAAACACAGGGGGAGAAAAAAGAAAAGCAATAAAAGCCGTGATTGAAAACCTTTCGGGCTGGGCGGAGGGCACGCATGCACGGGCAGACGAGACGCAAGGAGCGCTGATTTACAGAGTCTGATCAGAAACACACACGTGTGCAATAAACTGCAGCATTGTTAGAACATATCGTGCGATCCCACTGGTGGGAGGCGTTTTTAGGACTGGTGGGGGCAGGGCAGCAGCTGGGAATGGGCAAGGGGGGGGGGGCTGTGTTTGACTGTCCATTTGCCTTTTTATAGCTGCCCACTCTAGTTAGGAAAAAGGGAGAGAGAGAGATTGAGGAGCAGAGATAATGAGGAGGTGGGCGGGTGGGGGGGGTTGACGGCACAGCCTGGACTGACCACTGGATGCACAACGGCGAGACGCTGGTGAGGCTGCAGAGGTTGTTTTCTGCTGTGCATTTGGGGTTGATTAAAGCAGAGCAGCGTTGACACGTTGCTTCGTTTTTCCTGGACGTGAATGGTTTTATCTTTAAAAAAAAGGGGGGAAAAAACAGAAATCAATATTTGAGAGTGGCTGAGATAAGGGTGGGCTGCAGGGAGAGAGAACAGAGTGATATTCTCTGTGTGAACAAGTGAAAAGGCGATTGGGCTCTTTTTTCCCCTCTCCTCTCAGGGCACTCAGGATTGAGAGAGGACAAGTAAGTGAGGGAGAGTGTATATAAGTTTGTGTGCCTGAGTGCGAGAGGGAGACAGAGGGAGAGAGCTTTAGTCTGGCTTTTCTCTGCTCTGCCTTTCAGCTCCTCTCTCACTGTAGAAAGAGGCGTGTCCATGGGCCAGTATAAAGTCCAAGGAGAGCCACTCGTGTTGAGCCATTCTCAGGAGCGAGTCCTTTGCACTGCACACCAGCAAGAGGAGGAAGCTGCAGCTGTTACCAAAAACACGGCCTTTCGCTGACTGCCTTTGCATTTGGACACTTGTAGACCAGATTTTTTTGGGCGAGCATCGGGACTCGGACTCGAAGACGGAGCGAGCCTCACCTGAACGCGCCGGCGGATATCCTTCCCGCTCGTTCCGCCTTAACGAAAAAGAAACCCCCCAAAAAACCCCAAAACTTGTCCTCGTCACCCACGAGCTGAGCGCATCAAGAGCAGGCTCCAATTTCTGCGGTGTGAAATTGAATCAGAGCAACGGAGAAGCAGTACAGCAGAGGCATTGTGTGCCTGCGTTTGAAACAGTAACCAGCTGAAAATATCAAAGACCTTCCCGGGACAAAGCGTTCCTCTCAAACCTCTTCTCAAAGTGATTATAAGCTGCAGCACATTCAGAAGAGGAGGCGGCCAAAGTGACCGTGCACAAGGGCAAAGGATTGCGTGCAGGTGCCGGGACTGCCATGGTGCGTGGAGGTGGCGTGGCAGTAGCTCCGTCCTGCTGGGGCCTGTGGGTGTTTGGCGCCCTGTCGTTGGCGGCACTGTGCTTGTCGGACCAGGCCATTCGCTGCCCCGTTTGCTCAGAGGAGCGCCTGGCCAGCTGCCGTCTGCCTGAAGGCTGCGAGGAAACGGTGCGGGAGCCCGGCTGCGGCTGCTGCCCCACCTGTGCCCTGCCTAAAGGAGCCCACTGTGGCGTTTACTCACCCCGATGTGGCACGGGCCTACGCTGCTACCCGCCGAGGGGCGTGGAGAGGCCGCTGCACTCACTGATGCATGGCCAGGGGATCTGCACTGATGAGAGGGAGGTGGAGGAGAACTCAGGTGAGAGTGAAACCGGGCTCTTCTTCTTCTCGTTTAGTTACGCTCAGGTCTTTCTCTCATTTGGTGCCAAAAGTGATCTGTCCGAAGCTGAAGCGGCGTCTGTGCAGACCAGAATGTTTTCTCTCTGTGCTCCCCGGACCTTTTTTACCTGATCCGGGCAGAGTTGGGGGGGTGACAATGTGCTGCTTGTTTACCCTAATCTCAGCTAAGCCCTGAAGCAGAGCATGCACACGCACCAGATCCTGATGGGAGAGCGCACACAGTCCCGCCGCTGTCCTGCGGCCGCTCGAGTGAAAGGGAGCCCTGCTGAAAGATGCAGGGCGTGCGTGTGCTGCACGCTGCACAAACTTTACTGAAGGCATCCTGCAAATTTTCTTCTCGTCAGCAGAACTCGCGTATGCCATGTTTAAGTGAGGTCCTGCAGGTGAAGTGCAGGCAGTGAAATGGACTGTGGTGATGCTGGAAATGTGAGAGTCTCAGTGTGTGTGTGTGTGTGTCCCAGTGAATCTGTGTGTGTTTGTAATGGGAGGAGGTAATAAAAGCTGCTGTATGAAATGACTGTAATGGAGTGTGGCCAGTCTGGAGCTATTAGAGCTCTCTGCAATCAGTAATTTACGTGGTGCTCTTTCATGGATACCCCTGATCCTCCTCCTCCTCCTCCCGCTGCTGCTGCAAATCTTCTGCTGCTGATGTCTCTATCACACTCTTCTGGCCCGGCTCTGCTTTTCTGTTATTGCATTCCTCGTCCAAAGTCTGTTTCCACTTTCACACAGTGGGATGTCGAATGCTGGATCTGCATATCCAGTTCCAGTTCACTGCACTAACATCAGCTTCTTCCTAACTAGACTCTAACTGCTTGTCTCCACAAAGGGAGTGGTGCTGATTCCCATTAAATCATTTAAGACAACTGTTATAAGGTGGCGGCTCTTTTATTTGTTCCAGATTATCTGCCGCACACATGCTCCCAGACATTTTCTGGTAATAGTCTTCCAAAGACCTGGACGGGCTTTAGTCGGTGTAAAACTCGCAGGACGCTCATTGTCATTGCAGCATCTGTTTCTCCTGGCCATGGGAGCACCCCACCTCCTCTCTTGCCCGAACGAGCCCTCGAGCGCATCGCCCACCGCGTCCAGCTCCTTCGTGAGGATGAGCTCATCGGCACTGTTGCTGCCAGAGCTGAAATTAGAGCCTTCTGCTCTCTGCGTAGGGCCAGCATAGGTTAGCCCGGCACATAGCGTGACTGAACGGAATCAGAAAGAAGAGGAAAGCTGTGTTGAGCTTGATATAAAAGGAGAGCTGTTTGGGTCCACACCCGTTTATCTTGCAGAATGTTCTCCCTGAAATCTCTCCGATGCTGCATCGTCCAGTTAGCTGAGCTGTAGCACACGGAGGGGACTTGGCGGGTTGGAACGTTTTGGAAAAGTTTTGTTTTGCGGGTTTGCTGTAATCCGAGCGCTGGATATCGTTTGCCTCGATGCTCTTTCTCACCCCCGAGGTCTGTCATAACAAAGCAGGGAAGCTCTGCCCGATAAATCTCACTGTAAATCAATTCTGCTGGCAGCGGCTCAGACCTACTGTATGAGAATGTTTAATGTAAACCGTGGCAGACGGGAGACGATCGGAGAGGCAAAAAAGCTCTAGATTTCCTTTGTGGTGCATTCACCGTACTTATGCATTATTAAACAAGGGGGTGCATCTCCTGAATACATGTCTGACACTGCCCCACTCCTAGCAACAGTGAACATGCCAGATAAAAATAGAAAGAGGGATTGTAAAAACCTAGAGAATTCGCAATAAAAGGACCCTGGGATGCAGGCACATCCTAACAGCGTGCTGAAGTGAATTTAGGGTGTTCACGCTGGTAGTCGCAGCCCTGCAGCTGCTGGCTGGTGCTGCCTCGTGTTTAGGAAAAGTAACATATTAAATCAGGCTGTGGAGAATTATGAGCTATCTGCCCGTTTCTCTCTTCCTGAACTGAATTTCCATAGCAACAACAGGCAGTATCCTGCGCCGCATGTCAAAGTCTAAGGCAGCTTTAGTGCTTCTTAATATTCCTTTCTCAGGATCCCTCTCAATCTTAATACTTAGAATAAATCATCAAGCATGTGCTGGCATCTGTTCCCGCATTCCTGCTGGGTCTGCCCCGGTGTCGGGTATTCAGACGCTTCCCTCTCGCAGTGAAACGGATATTATTTACAAACTGATACAGATGTCAGATATGAAAAGTCTTACACCTACAGGCACAGAGGGAGTTGCATGAATGAAGCAGTCGGTGGAGCCAGACTCTGTTCGACTATGTCCAATTTACTGTGACGCACATAGCCCTTTATGAAAGCAGCATGCTAACCTAGATTTTTTTCTCCCAGCACAATTTGGGAGCTCCGAACTGGTTGTTAAAGATGTGCTTTCTCAAAGTTCTCTCGGCAGATGTCATTTCATATTTGCTTTCTTTGGGTTGTGCGGTGCATTTGTACAGCTGGGGCTCTTGTGCAGCAGTAAATGCGATTAGCTAATTGCTGTTCTCTGTGGGGCAGGGACCCCCCTCCAGAGTTGGAGCCGAGAGATACACAAACAACCCAACTCTGTCCCGGCCACGACACATCCTTAATCTGAGGCGAGTGAATCCTCACGGGCTGGGATTTAAGTCTGAGCCAGAAGTTCAGTAAGAAAAATACTTTAGCTCCATCTCCTGAGAACAAATGGACATTTTACCCCCTTCAAGGAGGACATGTGACTGGCCTGGTTTGCCTGTTTGTTAGCAGAACTGCTCGGAGAGGATCTGCATGAACATTTTTGCCCCAGGTGGGGCTTGGCCCAGGTTAAATGGAGTCCCTGGGAGTCGATCCAGATTCGGATCCAGGATTCTTTGGAAAGATTTTCACCACTTCAAGGTAGAACAAAATTGGACATTTGGTTTTATAGCTCCATGAAAAAAAAAAACACATATCAAACTGACACTGGGAATTATTGTCTTAAAGTTCTCAAGACAATATTACACTCTAATCTGGGCCCAGATGTTCTTCAGAATCCAGGAATTCAATATATACACTAAATAAATCTTTAAATTTTAAATTTCAGTTGGCCTTGGTGTAGGTATGCACCCTTTGACTACATTTTCACCTCTTAACTCCCACTAGGTCACTTAGGAAGCACTGAGTTTAGGATTAGGAGTTCACATCCTGACCTGTAGATGTGACTCAAACTAAACGCCTCTTTAATATCAAACAGTCTTGATATTAAGAGATTTTAAAAAAAAGTGCGATTCCTCAGCTGTAATCACCAATGTTTGATTTCATTTCCTGTCTTCGCACAGGGGAGAGAATCACTCTGAATGTAAGAATATTCAGCTTTCAATCGATCTAATGGAGTAACCCAGAAAAGTTTGACCTAGTTCACTGTAGACAGTGTTGGGGAGTAACGGAATACATGTACCGCCGTTACGTATTTAAAATACAAAATATGAGTAACTGTATT